TAACCATACGAGTAATATTTTATGCATGATAAATGATGATCTTGTCTTGCGTTTTGTCGCAAAATGTTTTTTTCTGCAAAAAAACGCAGAACCTGATAAAAAGGAATTAAGAAAAAACGTCGATGTCTAAAAAGAGGTCATGGTTTGATTAGGTGCATGTTCAGAAGGTTGGCAGCATCTAGTCACTTTATTGGACAAAATAAAACAAAAGTATTCCTAATGTAATTCTGTTCATACGGTACTACTAACAATTTCTGAGTATTGTTACTCAGTGAGTACTCAGTTACTCATGTGAGTCCTCAGGAAATATTCATTCACCATTTTATTTTGCTAAACTGAAACTGTATAAAGAATGTAGAATTTAGTGAAGAAACACAGAATATTTATAGTATTATTTTCTCGCTGGTCTCTCTTTATATAGCCAGAGACAGACTTGTAGTCCTATTCTGGCTACCTGAGATCACTCCTCTATTTGAAAATATCAGATAAACAATACTCATGAGTATTTTGCCGAAAGTGGTATGAGTACTCAACAATACCCAAGCATGAGTACTCAAGGTCGTACTCAGAGTACTTGTCACTCACTCATGAGTACTCAGGTGAGTTCTCATGACTAAAAAACTGTATGAGTACGTATGAGTACTCGTCCGATTTTTCTAGCAGAGTACTTTTTGAGTACTCACAGTTGAGTACATTCACTAGGGTAGGTGCATCAGCCAACTACAATTGAATGTAACAGACTCAAATGTATATGATGACGAGCTCCAGTGATTGTTAGGAAATTTTAATTGAAAAGAATATTTTTTTAGTAACTAATTTCAAATAACGCACTCTGTTTCCTGCTATTGGCACGAAAATTCAATGCACTCACTTGTTTTTCGAATAACTTCAGAACGATAAAAGATAGGGACCTGCGATTTGTACATTTTCTCTGGCAACTTGCAATATTTTTTTAAATTGCAAAAAGTTTTCTAAGTGATTCAGTAGTGAAAAGGGACCCTTGATATACGCGTTTTCATATTATACACTAAATATGATGACTCACCGATGAGTCAATGCAATGAGTCATCGTTTTTGTTGCGATGTTAACCTAGAGAATATTTTGCAAAATTGTACTTAAAAACCCACGCAATATAACGCAAAAAACGGATTCTGCATAAAAGAAAAAAAACTGTCGCTTTCTTGTTTATTTTTGCAGGGTAAAAATACAGCACAAGAAAACGTATATAAGAACCATGCGTTTTCTAGTGCTGCGTTAGTGTGGCCAGAAAAGTGCCGAACAACGCACATTTCTGCAGCAATCGTGAAAAAGTTTGACATGAGACCATCTACGTCGGATATTTTCTCATCGAAAAACAATATTTTCGGATGTCTTCTCTTCTGAACTGTTTTTTTAGGCTGATAATAAGACTAAAGATGCCGAAAATGAATAAGTTTTTGTTCGATATTCAAAATATTGATTTACAGTAGATATTAATACAGCAAATAGAATACCGATTGTCCATGAACGCAATGTTAAACATGTTTAAATCATCTTTATCTGATACAATTCCAGCTATTTCTTCATATGAATGTTGTTCAGCATTAATATACTCAACCACGGGACGAAATGATTTTAGTACAGTGATTTTTCGGTATATTTATAAGTAATGTAATATAATCTACTATTCGTTTAGGCGAGAAATGCAAGGTGTTATATGGGGGGATGTCCTCCAAGCGATTATCATGATGACTGATTTATTAGCAGCTATAATTCACGGTCGCGGTACAACACAGACAGGAAAGCTCTATTTGATTCAATTAATCATTTAGATGCAGTAACATTAGATCCTTTGCTATTAGCAAAATCTTTAAGACTGAATGAAATGAAAAGAAATTCGTGATGCTGTTGTTTGTTTTATTGATAAAACAAGACGATTTTAAACGGTACTCTACCTGTCTAATTAATTAATTTAATAAAAGTATTACCAATTATTAGATTTCTAGTGATATCTTACATTGTATATATAACGGGTGCTTCAGGATAAATCAGTCACTGAGTATTTTGCTCATATCTCAGTGGAATTTTATCCCCTGAGCTTTGTTATTTTTTCAAAAGATACGCCGTGAAATTCTCTACAAAAAATATATTAAACAATTTTCTATATATCGTAAAGATAAAAGACTATAGAAGAAATACTGCGAAGCTTCAATCTCGATTACTTTGCAACGTAAGAAAACAATTTTTTAACAATTTAATCGAGACTTTTGAGAAAATAATGAAGCTTAGGGGATAAAATTCAACTGAGATATGAGCAAAATACTCAGTGACTGATTTATCCTGCAGCACCCGTTATATATACAATGTAAGATATCACGAGAAATCTAATAATTGGTAATACTTTTATTAAATTTTGTCCTTATTCGGTTGCATTTTTTGTTCAGTAATTCTTTATATTGATTACTTGTACGATATTTTGTATATCTTGCTCCATATAAATCAAATAAATGCTTATCAATCGCAGCTACTCTTATTTGATCAAGTGCTTTTGTACCACGGACGGAGGCGTCAACGGATGAAACTTTTAATTCTTCTTCTGTAAATAACGTTGAGAAAAGATAGGCTAAAAGATGACGGAAGCCGGTTTCTTTGTTTAATAATTCTTGATTAGCTGCTAGTTGTTGTCTATCATGCTTTTCTTTTGTAACCTGAAATATTCTTTGTGTGGTGGGATCATTAAGAAATACTTGGGGTTCCTAAAATAGAAACGTTTCATATAAAGCATACAAATCCCAGGTACATGACTCTTTATAGTGTATACTTACATTTGACGTTGTAACTGATGCAAATAAATTTGTACACATATTGATTGAAATTTGACTATCAGCTCTTTGTCTTTTCAATAAACGATTCTAAAAAGTATAAAAGTTTTCTAAACTAAAGGTACTTGAGAAAGAAACACATTTAATATACCACACTATCAGGAGTTGACATAAATGCTTCATCAGTATCTACATTCATATCATATGGTCGTTTGGAAGTAAAACTTTCAGATGGTTCAGAATCATAATGTGAGTATAATAATTCATTTGCAGACGTTATAATTTCAGTTGGTATTGTTAGTGCTGATACCGTTACAAATGTAGGATTATCTGTGGTTGTGCTCTGCGTGGTAACTGTACCACAAGGAACAGTACGAACCTAAAAGGAATTTATATGACAAAAGTAAACAGACCGATTAACAAAGGGCAGTATTTCAGAATTTGACGGTTTTCTTCCAGACAAACTAATTTCAAATCGTGCCGCTTTTTCAGTTTTGTTTGATTTTATTATTTTCTTTCTTTCTGATGTTTGGCTCCTTCTGTACGGATATATAGATAGATATAGAAGGCAAAGTGAGAAAACAAGAAATTTTGCTTTCATCCAAATATTCATCTATAAAGGATATTACTCACTATAGAATTACTCAATATTCTGTCAACTTCACAATTAAAATGAAATTAACTTTTTTCTTGAAAAACTTTTATTTACTTACAACTTGTTCTTTGATTTGCTCAGATGCATGTTGAATTGCATTTTCAAAGGATAACGCTCTTCCTTCAATTAATTCCAAGATTTTTGTACAACAGTTTTCTGTGTTAATAATACTGGCTGATTTATCAACATTGTCCTTCTGTAATTCACATACTGTTATATCAATTGTTGTTTCTTTAATTATTAATGTATCAACAGTTTTCTTGAGAGTATTAACTGAAGTTTCTATTTTATCAAATTTTGTTAATAATAAATCAAGTTTTTCATTTACGATTGATAATATTGTTATTTTGTTATTATTTCCTTGTACAAAATCAGATTCATCACTACCTTCAACAATTTCTGGAGTACCTGCGCGTACTTTTTTAGCTTCAGACATTATTAAAGTTAGATAGATAACGAGAAAATACAATTGCGTATGATTTTTGTGAAATGAAGATTTATAATAATGATTCTTTTTCTTTCTGTAGACAGCTTCTTTTTCAAACCTAGATAAGCTTCTTTGTTCCATTGTTTGGATGAGCATATTCTATTCCCATGCAATGAAAATTAATTAACAATACATGCCTATACATATTTCTTGTTACATATTGTTACCTAAATTGGCTTAACTTGTATATACATATATCATAATTGACAGAGTTTATGTATTCTATTAAAGAAAATAATCAGTCGTATTTTCCATACTAGAACGGATCTTATTTTATTACACTATTTCTCACTATAAACTCAATTCACCTATAATACGTTTCATAAGGTTTCAAGTATTTGCAAAAAGTTTTTATCATGCCAAGCTACAAATGGCTAACGTTCGAAACAAAAGAAAAGTCTGAAGAAAAAATGGGACAAATATCTAAATCACGCTTTCAACGTAATAAAGTCGGTAGAAAATCTTATCACGAATCATGTCCAGAAATGATAACTGAATTAAAAAATTTATTAAATACACACAGTGGTTCTGCACAAGACAGACGTCGTGATGATGCAATACGTTTCAATGCTTTATCAATAGTTGATTGTAACAAACATATAAAAAAACGATTAATGAAGGAATACTCGAAAATCAATAAAATGTCCAATTCCACTGTTCGTCGTTTTTTTTTACCACCAAAACAAAATATTCGAAGTAGTAAATTTTACAAAAGTCGTATATTAGCAAGAATTCCACAAAAGTCGTATATTAGCAAAAATTCCACAAAAACGTAATTCACGATCAATAAAAGAACACAATCATTTTCATTTTACATGTGCGCAAGTCAATTACGTCGAAGAATTATCTAGTTTATATAGCAAGAAATATTAGCACTATCCTGTGATAATAAAGCAAAAATACCATTAGGTGAGCACATGTAAAAAAAGAATGATCCACACTGAATCTATTCGCTTGAAAAATTTTCTTGAAATTGATTTCTTTCTATTTTCTTCGCAGTATAGTCGAACTCTAGCACGTAACGGAACGTTTCAAAGTTTATATATATCCAGCTTGATTTTCTTTTCTAATTGTTTCTACTTCTTCAAAAACAATTAACCGCCATGTTTCCACAGATTATTTATATCAACAACATATTTAAAACAAAAAGAGAGCATCTCTTTTATATCTCATTCTACTGTCATTACCATTCAGGCCTTTTAGAATACTATATTTTTCTTAATATAAGGAAGAAACTATAGTATCGTGTGTTTTTTTCTTTATAAAAATAAAGATTTAGATAAAAACGAACTTGAAGATCTAAAAATTTTAAAAATTTATTTTGTATAATTTAGGTTCCTTTGATTGCATTGTGAATACATACATCGACATATATATACTCCAATGTGTTCGTCTTTTTAACAGACATGTTTGTGTTTAAAGAATAAAATCAGAAAGGGACAAACTTTATATTTTCATCAAATGTTCATCTTTTATATATTCAAGGAAGAGAGTACCCATTGTAAACGTATTTCGTATTGCATCAACTTCGCGAACTAAAATTACATTAATTATAGAAGACCCATTCCCATTTTCTATACTAGTTTAAAGTACACAAATTGTACACGAAACTGATCTCTATTTTCGAAAAGGACTCCTTTTTTAGTCTTTCAGAAATATAGCTGTGAACATCGTTTAAAAATGCAAGTTTTTCTTTCCTCGACTTGCTGAGACTTCTCTTGCTTGTCTCGAAAACTTGCTTTGTTAAACGATAATCAACGATATTCACAGTCATAGTTCTCAAAGACTAAAAGGAGTCCTTTTCTAAAATAGAGATCAGTTTCGTGTACAATTTGTGTACTTTGAACTAGCATAAAAAATGGGAATGGGTCTTCTATAATTAATGTAATTTTAGTTGGCGAAGTTGGTGCGGTACGAAATAAGTTTACAGTGGGTACTCTCCTCCCTGAATACATAAAAGATGAACATTTGATGAAAATATAAAGTTTGTCCCTTTCTGATTCTATTCTTTAAACAGAAAAATGTCTGTTAAAAAGACGAACACATTGGAGTATATATATGCTGATGTATGTATTCACAATACAATCGAAGGAACCGAAATTATATAAAATAAAATAAATTATAATTTAAATTTTGCCATGCTCCCTAATCAATATAAAGAATTACTAAATAAAAAATGCAGTCGAATAAGGACAAAATTTAATAAAAGTATTAAATTTTGAACATTAAAAAATTCAAAGATGCTATAAATAAAAAATGTTGTCGATTGCGTACTAGATTATTAATTTGAAATTCCTCTGTTTTAGCCTGATTTTTAGATCTTCAAGTTCGTTTTTATCTTTATTTTTATAAAGAAAAAAACACATGATACTATAGTTTCTTCCTTATATTAAGAAAAATATAGTATTCTAAAAAGGCCTGAATGGTATGACAGTAGAATGAGATATAAAAGAGATGCTCTCTTTTTGCTTCAAATATGTTGTTGATATAAATAATCTGTGGAAACATGGCGGTTAATTGTTTTTGAAGAAGTAGAAACAATTAGAGAAGAAAATCAAATTCGATACATATAAACTATATATAGCAAAACTAGTATACAATGCAATGTTCTATAATAGGGAATGGTCGGATAATAGAGGAATAGCGACCGACCGGATTATATTTTGAAACGTTACCTAAGGAGATATACCTCGACGCATGTCTTTTTAGGTGCACCAGCCGTCAGTCGTTATGTGCGCAGTAGAAAATTCCATCTAGTTGGAAATCAACCAAATTTACCTGACCATGATTTCCCAAAACATGGTATTAGAATCAATCCATCTGCATATGTTGTATTATCAAATCAACGTAAACGTTCATCTAGTGTTGATAGCCATGCATCATATGAATTAAAGGTCAAAAAAAGATCAAGATCATGTGATAGGCGACTATTTCCAGATATAAAGCAACATACTATTATGGTCAGTCAACTGTTTTATTCAATTTTATCAAAATGAAAACTAATGACTAAGGAGTGTTTCATTCTTTAGACGACCGATAAAAGAAACTTTGAACATGTTATATGGAGCAGAACCGGACAATTATTTATTCGTCCATTTGGTTCTGGGACTGACCATACAATAAAAGCAACCAGCGAAGTTCATATAAATAATTTACAACAGATAACAACAGAAAATAATATGTTACTTCAAAAAAGTGTTATTACCATCATATCTGATAATGGTCCGGATTGGAGTACTGATTGTATGGCGAACATTTATAACTTAGGAAGATTTTGGGAAGAACAAAAATTGGATGCATTAATCTGGGTCAGCTACGCTCCAGGACATAGTCGTTTTAATCCAGTTGAGCGTATGTTCTCAAGATTAACTGATCTATTACAAGGTGTTATTATTGATTTGGATCCGTCATTTAAAAAAACATCGCAACAACTTGATCTAGCATTAATTGAATTGTGTAAATACTGGAATAATAAAAGTTATTGTAATTATAAAATTGACTGTGGTCCAATGTTTTCTGTTAATGGAAATGTATTTGATGGCCATGAAAAATTAAAGAAATTATTAATGAATAAATCACAAATGCAAATAGAACAAAATCCAAATATACAATTTAGTTTACAACTTTATCTTCGTCATTGTGTTCGTTCCACATATTATACGTCGTTTATTAAATGTGATGATAAATATTGTGTACATTGTCCTCGTTATCCAATTCGTGCTACAAAAACAAT